CTGTTCTGGTTGCACATACAGTAAAGTACGCCATGTTCTAACATGTGGTTTTGTGTCACTCTCAATGAGACGTCTGTGAAGATACACCAAAGACTCAAAACACTTCAGAAATAAAAGGTAGTTAGAAGTAGAGAGAAATATAAAAATCCCAAATATTGTAATGGGCAGATTTATTTTGGGGACTTTTGTGTCCACAAGTAGAGGGCACAAAAGCAAATCCCCAATTTCGCAAAGGGGGGGGGGGGGGGGGGGGTTCCCTTCATTAGTCGCCTCTTACGAAACATCCGTTGAATCGCATTTCGCCATCGTTTGTGCGACTTCTAAATATAGCATTCGGAAATCCCCATGGAAACAATCGGAACGATCTAATACGGATCGTTTTTCACATGTTTTAAATGATGGAGTGTCTGAGTATAATCATGGTAATAAAGAATATAACAGGAATTCAAACATTGCAAGAAATATAATTCATTATTAAATTGATAAGTTTTGAAAAGTTTCAAAATAAAAAATATAACTATATCTGAAATGATTGTGGTGAGACGCCATTTGAAAATGGGAAAATATCAAACATATTTGACGCTTTAAATGCTTTAAGTGACGATACTGCAGGAAAACCATCCATATTGAAGCGAATAAACTATCAAACTATATTTATTTGCCTTGTAGGTCGTTCACTGTCGGGAAATTATTTACTAACTTTCTCTTCCATTGAGATGGATTGGCATTTTGTAGACCCATTTCATATATACCAGAAATATACATAATGTCGGTACATTTTGTAACACACTAAATTATTAACCTTCATACAGAACCAGGAGATAGATAAACAATGTACAAAAAATGCCGGCCGAATAATTTGCACATCCAAAACAAAAGACTATTACCAAGGATATTTACCAGAAAGAACAATCGGCAAGGTACATCACCAGAATGTCGTAAGTGGCGACCATGGCTTGTAATTCAAGGATAAGGAAAATACGGTCCAATAACATTAAAAGAATTGTATTATTTTAGGCAGGAAAACGGGAGAATATGCCTCAAATATAGCAAAGAATACAGCAGACCAGATTTTAGTTTCCTCATATCAACAGGATGCGGAGTCGAGGGTACTCTCTGAAATGGGCATTTTGACGTAAGAGGACATAATTACCAAGGGTGTAGTTTACAAGAATATACATGTGTTTGTGGCCTAAAGGTATATTTTACATGAGAATCATAAATTCCTTTTATAACATTATTTTATTTCTATTAAAAAATTAACTTTGGTCAACGATGTTTTATAAATCCGATCACATGGTGATTTTAACAGTATGGTTCATCGATAATCATCCCATATATATTACCTTCCTCGTGCGGTTTGGTGTGTCAAAGAACCTTAAATCATAATCATGGTTGATTTTGTACTAGTCGATAGGTTTGGAACAGATTCAAACCTCCAGCGTGTAGAATTTGAAACAATAATAAAATGCATAAATAAACTATTCGTATTCTGGAAGAAGTCGGTTAGGGCATCGAATTTCAATACAGACCGATATAAGAAAATTATGACATAAATAAATACGCAATCTATATACATGGTATTATTGAGTACACATTCAAATTAGGCATCCTAAAACAGCGTAAAGAACTTCTCGAGAAGTCTGGCCATATGTACAAAACTCTTAAAGGTTACTATAGTCGATGAATAAAACATGGGAATGTGAGGGAGGTGTATACCCCGGTGTATTGTTTACCCCGGTCTGGTAACGCGGAACGACACACCATATTACTACGCGTTGTAGCACCAGAATATCATTTCAAAATGTTTCTCCTCCAGTAAGTTTATCACATACAGACAGCCGGTGTATTGATACCACGATATACACTGTTATGGTTCATGTAAGGTATATTGTATCGGCGATATTACCTTCGGACAACAATGTATCCTATCTACAGGTTTTATAGTCGAATTTATATATAAAAAGGTTCCACGAAATTATAGTTTCGCTTTCACATAATAAATAATACAACGATATTTGTACTAACATTGATTCAATTTAAGTGTCATCTGTATTATTTTTACCAATCCGTCAATCTCGTGACTGCATCGTTGGTAATGCATAAAAATAATCCATAATATGATACTTATTTTAAAAGAAAAGAATATCGTTTACTTTAATTGGTCGAACAAAAACATTATTTCATTACGTCAACAGCATGATCAATTAGACGACATTTAAATTCAGTTTCCTTCCCCAAAAACTACTATTAAAAAATAAGCACCAAATATTATGTATAAAAATGAACTCAACTGTGTCGAACCTATTGAGACCATGGAAGAGCTTCATAATAACATACTATTAGACAAATTCAAGTTAATTAATAAAGCAATTTACTTCAACGGAACTATACCACGACTCCGAGATAACTTGATATCCGATACACCGGTGTATAATAATCAAAACAATAAATTAACAAGGAAATATTAATCGACTTCCAAATAACAGGGTTAATGATACATGCATATCAAAGTTAATTTTGAAAGCAATTTAATACAATGGAATCACATAACAATTCAGAGATAGCATACGTGTGCTTTACTGTATCATCTTTGTTCATGTCAATGATCACCTCCAAGGAATTACACTCAGACCACACGATAGCAGGATTAAAAATATACTCTCATCAATAACAAAGCAATTGACTGCCATGGTATATGCACCGCTTTCTCGGCAAAAGGTTTTCAGATATGTTCCAGTTGATTATCAATAATTAAGTACTGTATAGTGAAATTACAAAACGATTCCGAGATGATATGGTAATGGTAACTACCATGAAAATATACTTCAATATAGCAGGATTATTAAATGTATCCACGTCAATAATAAAAGCTAAATACTACCACGGAACTAAACACTTACTTCGAAATAACACTGTAATAGATATAACAAAGTTCGAAATAAGTTAACCGTTAATTTAGTTAAGCAAACAGAACATTCGAACGTGTCGCCTAAGATTAACCAATCGGATGACTCGTGTGTCAGACATGTCCCCCTGAAGGCGATACTGCCTGATTACCTAACCCCGGGTTGAAACAATGTACATCTCCTAATGAAAGAGCATTGAGGTATGGATACCAATCTTGGGAAGGCGTTCAGTTGTGAAACGACATTACCGTTAAGACTATCTCTTCAGCAAGTTTCTCCTCTATAATTCATGTCATAATCTTCATTTCTTTTTGCAATCAATTATCAGATTTATACAACATTAACCCCCATTCGATTGTCTAAAAGTTGAAAGCTTTTTTTGAATGAACGCAATGTCATATTCATTTGTTATCTATCTAGCAATGCAATTGATTGTAATATTAATATATAATAATTTCATACACGTTCAATGCGCAATATTGTTATTAAACATTACATGTGTTGACTCCTCTATGTTGAGTTAATGTCTATATGTGTTATTGTTGCAAATAGTTTATCTGATTGCTCCCATATGTGACGTCACTGTAAATAATGTTGATATAAATGCCATGTTTACTTACTCGCATGCTTTAAGTTGTTACTATAATATGAGAACTATTGATTACAATAACAGTTTACGGCGATCATTCTTTCATGTTTATTGCCATCTTGTGGTTTCTTACCGACGTATCAATATTTTACAAAGGTATCTTTACATATCAAAGGTATCTATATTTTCGAAAGGTATCTATAATTTCACTGGGTATCTATATTTCAAGATGTATCTTTATTTTCTTGGGTTATCTTATATTTCGCAAGGTACTAGGTACATTGTAGCCACAAGGTATCGATATTGTCAGAATTTATCAATATTTTTCTTAGGTGTATTTATTTCCACGATGTATCTATGTATAGATAATTTGCAAAGAGATTTAATCACGAATTTAAATAACCGGGTAATGTATATTGAGACTAGTTAAACAAGGACACTTTGGCTTTCAGCAATTCCAATTTTGCGGATAAATATTTCCATCATTTTATGTGTAAATATTATCTGAAATAAAACTATTTAATATAATGTATTCTCCGTTGTTTGTACTGCTGTAGACTTTGGTCATGAGAAACTCAGACTCCCTGTCTACATTGAAGTGAGTAAATCGCTGTTTAATTTAACTTCGATGCATCAATTATCTGGCTTACATCAAACGACATAATAATGTTTGACTATTATAAATGGTGGGTCTCTCGTCCCAATAGCTAGGAAATAACTGAGTGGGTATCTTTAAATTAGAGAATCCATCTTTTATGAGTTTTATAGAAAAAGCCACACGTGTGTTAATACCTCACCTGTACAAACAACTCACCTGTCACAGGTGCGTTTTAACTTATCCCTTGGCCACTAACCATGTTGTAACGAATTACCTGTATACGTGTGTGCATATGGTATTGTAAATAAAACTTTACCTTATATCTTAACATCCTGAAAGCATGTGTTTACAATCAACTACCTTCCAAGCTCAACCAAGGCCATCTATATAATGTTATGGTCTGATGCACATATCCAGTATATCAAACCCAGTAATAAGTCGTTTTTTGTTAATTGTCACCTTGTTGTCCATGTCTTGTTTACATTTTATTTGTTACATGCTAGATGTATGCTTAGTATCATAATGATATTAAAGCTTCATGAGAGATATTGCTTGGTAGAAAATCTCCATATTTACGATTACCTAGTTTCACTAATTGGCAGCCCGTATACAAAATATATTTATACATTTTAAAAAAGAAATTCAAATTGCTGACCACCTGAATAAATAAAAGTTTATTTTAATCAGTGTAAGTGTTTAAAGGTAATATACGAAAATATTATAAAAGAAGAAAAAAAGATACTCTATCTCTTTTTAACTGTAGACGACTATTTGTAAAAAGATTACAGTCATATCACAGGTACGGAATAGCTGAATGACGCACCTTCCCATAATACGACCACAGGTGAAAAATCAAAGCCTACACTAATTAATCGTTAACGTAGTAAGACAAAAAAATGCTTACCTGTATATAAGAAGGCTATACAGTCTACTGCAATACGTCCCATCCCTGTTGTAGAAGATCTCATGATGAAGGTGTAACTCCACTGAAGATTGGGACCTTACTGTGACGCCTTCTCTGATTGTAGCGCGGGAGAACCTATTCCTAGGGGATAGTTTCTGTTTGCCAGCCCTTGCACCGGGCCACCTGCTAGTGGCGGTGTCCTTTGTTTATTGTCGTCACACTAGTACCCTAGCCAGGCTTCACAACACACCCTGGTTTTACACTGCCGACCATCATCTCTTACACTGGTACATATCAAAATCTATATCCGCCAAATTTGATTTGATACTAGTGTTGTACTGCCTATGAGTTGCTCAGTGCCGTTGTTTTTGAGTGGTTCCTCTCGCGGTATTGTGTTAAGTACTATTGAACATGCACAACACTTAGAGAACATGGCACAAACTATATATGAACATGTACATACATCATGTATGAGGAATTCCTCTCTTATGCATCTCTATATCAATATCACTTCTGGCTTAACTTTTAAAATGGTCTAATATCTTATATACTTCCCTTTATACATTACTCACAGAACGGTATACGGTAACATGATATCGTATAAGTTGTTATGAATTTCTATTCCATACACTCTCAACTTTCAAATGTTAAGACTATTTCTGTTTACATCCCATCGCTATGCTAATAAAAAAGAAATATAAGCAAATAAAACGTTGAAACTGAACACACACGGCCGGCATGGAAATATCCCACCATATTTGATTATCACACGGAGAGAGACTATTGAGTCATTCTCTACTGTAAATATACACTTCCCTGTGTAGACATGTGCATCGTTAACAGGCCTGGCAGTTGATCAAACAGAAAGTGACATACATGTATACACAGATACAATCGTTTCCCTTTCAAAAAATTTAAACACAACTGGAATCCGTCATGTGAAATCATTATCTACACAAATAATTTAGGTTTACAACTTACATCGGCCAGCTTCTCACTCGGTCCGATGATCTGGCGGTTCGTACGAATTGCCACTTATAATTGTGCTTTCGAGGCCAGCCTTATTATGCAGTATAAACACTATTGAGTTTGGATCAGCTGATCGCATCGGACCCAAGGTAGAAATAAAACTCAATCAGTGAGTGTTCGTCCCAGTCCAACGGCATGGGGAATGTTTATGTTGGGGGCATGCCTTTAAGAAAGGGATAAGGCGGTAAAAAATACACCATTGAATGGACCGACATCAAAATTCATGGCTTCCTCCGCACTCCTCATAATTAAAAGGGATCGAAAAAACGTTATTGGATTTATGTGGACTGTGAGCGACATTAAATAAAAAATATTAGCTTTTGCCCTGCAAGATTGGAAGTGTTATTACCAGGAAAAATCGGTAATTCAGTTATAACCCGGGCCAGAATAGTGATGATCTGTAAAATAACCCAAGAGTCGACACTGTCGATGAAAACACGATACATGATAATTTAATTGTTATTAACACAATCGATATTAATAGGTTATAGTAAGAGTGTGTAAAGATGATGACTCACAGTACCCAGCAGGCGTATACGTAAACAGAGCCATCGGTTCAGATTACAATCGACCCCATAATCGTTTAGTGACGTAGGTTTACAAGAAAAAGTAGTTTTAATATAAATTATCTGTTGTTGACAACATTTGTTTTTTCTGACGTTATAACGGATTTTTTGGGCACCTTTTCTTTTTCGCTGTATTCCTAAGTTTTATTAACACTTCATGACATGAATGTTTCATTGTTTTGATCTTAAGTTGTGATGATGAATCAATAATGGACGTATCGACCACATTGCACAGTGAAATGGTCAGTTTATTTAAGTTTTTGCATCTACAAACAACACGTTAAAATATGTTTTTCATTTCTTAGCTTGTTTATTGAATTTTGCAATAGTAAACAAATTTTAATATTTTTATTGATACTTAAATAATTTTTCGTTAAGGTTTTTTGTGCATCTCGCGCTCTATTTTAACAGCAACTTCATCCAATTTGGATTTCCATCTTTTTGGCCGCTAGTGTCACCGATGAGTTGTGAAGGGCGACGAAACAGCTGTACGAGGCAGGTTAGTTGTCCTATTGTGGGGAAAGTTTAAACCAATGAATATGAAGGTAAACGCAAGGTGAAATCATTGATATTTTTTATTATAAACAAACCTTGTTTTTAAAGATATATTTCTGATATCATTATATTCAGATGAATGTTTATGTTAATTATAATCCAATTTAGAGTTAAATTGAGATCAGTCATTTTCTGTTCTATAAAAAAAAAACAAGAGGTCCAATGGGCCTGCACCGCTCACCTGGTATTAATCCCACACTTAAAAGTGATCTAAAATAAAGCTACAGGCAAAATATCAGTATTTACAACTATAAGTCATTCAAAAGAACCTGTTAAAAGATTTATAAATATTTGACCCCTGTGATCTTCTCAGCATGCAACTTGCAAAATATCACCACCCTAGACCTTTTGTTTATTGAGATTATGTTATTTATATGTTCATACATAATTGACTTCATGTGACCTTGAGAGTGGGCCAACTTCATTTAAATGAAAAAAACTTGATAGCCCTTTATCCAAGCACGCTACTAACCAAATATCAACATTCTAGGCCTTGTTATTTAGAAGAAGTCGTTTATTTTTTTTAAACATATTTGACCTCTGTGACCTTGAATATGGGTGAGGGTCATTTATTTAAATAAACTTGGTAGCCCTTCATCAAAGTTTGCTTCTGGCAAAAAAACATCACCCTAGGCCTTGTGGTTATTAAGAAGAAGTTGTTTAAAATAAAATATTGACGACAGACGCCGCATCACGGCATAAGCTCACTTGGCCCTTCGGGCAATGCAGATGAGCTCATTAAAAATTAACATATAGCAAATTATTAATCATGATTCATTGACGAGTACAGTAATGAAGGTCTCGTGTGATTGTAACACTGATCGGTCATATTTCCAAAAGGACGTGTTCCAAATGACTTTTATGCTTACAATTTGGTACAAATAAGCGAAATATTGCCATAAATCATATTTACCAAAAGGAATTATTGATATCTCGAATGATATATTTCTTACTAATATTTTTTTTTTTTTTTTTTTTTTAAACAGCTTTTTTATAACTTTATATTAGTGGACTGAGTCGTCTCAACACCAATGCACTTTCACTTAGTAAACAGAAAGGTACATCATTGTCTCTACACTACGAAATATAAGACTGTCCTTGACGTTTTTGTTACTCTGTCCATTTACATGTACGGGGTCATGTGATTCAGGCGGAAAGTTAAGTGTTTTAAGTAGATTAGGACTCCGGCTACATGACATACAGGATTGAAATTAGGTTAACTGATCGTAATAATGGCACGATACATAATACATGTACATACACTTCACACAGCTTAATCAAATCAAGTAAGAATATTCTGCTAAATCAATCAGTTGATTTATTGTTTATCATTAAATATATATTAAGTATTGCAAAATAATGTCATAACATCAGGATACAGTACAGGCAAAAATATCATTGTGACGAAAACATTGCATTATGCAATTAGCTCGTCAGTTTAGCTCCGTGATGTCTATTGATGATCACAACACAGTTTTCGTAGCTGCTGTCAATCTCTACCCATAGTGTTGTCGTTCCTGAGGTAGGAACGACAATTCTAGATAGGAATTGAGATGCGGTTTGAATGGAGTTACCTGGCTCTTAGTCTATAACAGCAAGTGGGGTAAACTAACGGATTTTAGGTGAAAAATATATATCGGATGGTTAAATACACGATTTGTTTAAAGTGTCTAAAATGCTAAAGATATTTTTACAAACTTGGCAATCGGTCTGTCTTTATACTAATGTCATTATTCTTAAACTACAAACGTCTTTTCTGGTTGATCAATGTATAGTTATGAATAAAAACGATGCAGTCATACTATGTTTTCCCACAAAAGTGTTTGAAACTTCATTCCAGAGCATAACAAAAGAATATGCGTACTTTTTTGTTAGAATGTTTGGTACAGTATGTCACACCCGTTAAAAAATATTATTTTTGCTAGTCTATGTCTCCTGTCGTAATATTCAGTGGTTTGTACACTTAAACAATCGAGAAATCAGGAACCGATCTCCCAGCCAGGGTTTGTCTTGAATTCACATTAAGAAAAACAGAAACAGGCCGACCGGGTCTGCAGCTATGCAGCTTTGAGTAATTTCATAAAACTCCCTAGCTTAGACATCCTCTCCAGTTACCATGTGGTCTTCTTGTAGTATAAATCTAAATAGTTCTGCTTTAGAACAGAATGAATGGAATAACAGAAGTGTACAAAAATAATATATTTACAAATATTAATAATTTGAAAGGATGCTTGTTAATTCTAAGGACCAATATAGTTTGTAGTTTTATCCAATAGATAGTGGGCATCATAAAAATAGCTACCACTATATCCTTATGGCGTTTCAATTCTCTTTTAAATACAATATTGCACATGTCTAATGAAATATTTAATGTCGAAAACAAGTTATAATTGTTTACGAAAAGCAGCAAACATCAATAACATATATTGGAAACACGACATGTATTGTCGGTAAAAAACTGTTGTCACCGAGAAAACCAAAGTTGTTTTGTTGCCAACAAAAGGGAGAGTCATCTTCGTTTCAGCTGCGACTGTAGTATTTCGTGTCTGTCTTGTCTCCTTGTCTCCCTTGATACCTCCAATAGGGCCATCGTCATATAAGTATGAGCGTTTAAATCAGTATGGCTTTCCATCGAAGTTGTGGTATTTCTGTATGCTGTTGTAAAAGACCATTTCGTGACCAAGCGGAAACTTCCGCCATAGGTTGCTCTGTCACATGGCCTTGGTTGTAACGTCGTGTGACTTGATAATTCCATCATATGGAATTAGTTGTTCGTCAGTTGACAAAAGTTGTTACGATATATGGCCATGGTTGGTGGTCTTCGAAGACATCAACCCCCTGTTACAACAACATTGTTCGTTGGTAACTTTGTATAAAGGAAATATAAATATTGGAGAATGATTATTTGTCTTTTAACAATGAAGATAATACCCGAGGAAAAATACTCCAGAAAATATGTAACGTTAATGAATATGCTACATGTATAATGAACGCGTCCTGTTTTTTATGATTCATGAAGGCATAATATAATTTTAAATCCCTCGAATCTTCATAAATATTGAGGATTAAGAAGAGAATCACACACACCGTCATTCGATTTACGATGATTACAAATTCAAGGTAGATGAAATAATAGTACAGTGTTTAAACCTTCCTTGGTTAAGAAAAAATTCGATTAGCATATATGACCTTATATGTCATGTTTCAAATGTAGCTTAATGCGCACAATCGGTTATTGAGGTATATTCAAGTTTGCAGTGTGTCACGTGACCATCCGATTAATCATTCCCATGAGTATTTGAACTTTGAGTGTTTCATACGTGTACGAAAGTCTGCGTCAAAGTTCTCATTTTCGGCTACTGTAAACCAATTTTTCCAATCTCCAATTTGACCTGTGTAATAAAGCGTAGTCATAAAGTCAAGTGTTTGATAGATATCTAATTAAAATTAACGATAAGAGTCATAATTAAAACGCCTGATTATATATCTTATTACTCCTCATATCTTATGTCTTATTACTCCTAATCCACAGACATCACTCCATGTTCTTATGTTTGCCCGATGGGTATACAAACAGTTTGCAAGAAAGTCCTGCTATCGAATTCAACAAAAACATATTCAATCTTACCCACGATTTCACCCTCCGTATATGTATAGCTTTCAAGGTACGTTTTGGTTCAAAAACTTGTTCCAAATCGATGCCTAGATCTTCAATTATCGAAGTATGAAGATTATTTTTAATGTAATTTTTACAATGTCAAATTAAGGTTTACCTTTTCGATACATCGCTTTCTGTATATGATCTTTTTTAACTTCAGCCAATGTAAGCTTTGCGTCTTTCATATTATCAAAGCCACAACGCGCATTAACTTTGAACAGGAAGTCCTCGTCGTGTTCTAATTCTAGAAAGTCGGCAATCTTCCGGATATTCGCAATACCTTCCTGTTAATAAAAGATCAACTGTTTTTCAAACCAACACTCATATTTAAAAGATGAACGCAACACAAACACGGGTGATTGCGCCTTTAACATTTGGTAACAGATACAGTACGCAAAATATGAATTACATGTTATCGAAACTAGAATAAATATATTATATTACTTGAATATAATATAAAGGGTCATATATCTATTGATTTTTTGTCTGGAAAAAAATGTTTTAATTTTCTGGGATGTATGGAATGCTAGGGATTCCTAAATAAAACTTACCATAAAAACTTGATTCAATAATTGTGATACTTAGTGCTCCCGGCTTTAGAAACAATGAAGATACCAACATTGGTATGTTAATCCCAATACTTTCTTACATTTCTTCCCTTATGTTTTACTTAATATAATGATGTGTTCATCCCAACGTTATACTCCTGGCTAGCTACCTGTCAAACGAATGCAACGGATGTGATGATATATTGTGTATCAATGATTTGGTATTTTTGTTTGGTGGCTCTTGCGTTTTCATCCTTACTCAGCATAGTTTGAATAGCATCACAACTACAATGTAATAACCGCAAATCTACTGTGAAATCACTGAATTTTGTTGTGTATTAAATTTTGTTGATTTTGTCGGTAATCTTCATCCACGAATTCATAGGTCAAGGAAGTAATTACATGTTTGACATACAGCTATTAACCGTAAAACTGAGTGCTCTTATCCATTTTTCCACAAAATGGTGTATTTAGGGGAAACAACAAAATTCGGTTCCCACGAAAAAACCCTTTTGTCACAGTAAACATATGTCAACACAGTTCATTAACGTGCATTAAAAACCCTGATACTTAGAACGAGCTCACTATCGATTGTTTTTAAAAATATCCAAGATACCTGTTTTTGAGATTACTCTTCTTAATATGTATCACTTTGAATATTTCTTTTCATTTAAGAGATAAAAGCTATAAACCTTTTGTGCAACCATGTTTAAACAATAAATATTCGCGAAGTTGGAAATCTGGTTGATTCTCCTCATGACATGAAGCAAAATATGAGCGTCTTAAGTCAAACCACTATATTAAAACTTACCCGCTTTATATCTTCATAGGAGAGCTGCAAAATGGGCGTATCTTTGTATTGACTTGAAAAGGCTTCTTCCCAGGCGATTGTGTAATCAAACCAGTTATGGAACAATGTCGCTGTAAATGAATGTACATTAAATATGTTAATTATACAAAGTACATGTAGGTCTGAAAAATACTCTTTGCCCGATTACACCAACTTAAGAATAAAAAAATCGCAATCAAAGAATTGGAGTGACTGTTTTTTTAACCTGAATTTATATTTGTAAAATTGCCATGGACGTGGATGGTTTTATTTGTTGAATTAATGATACAAAAATGGTGACATCCTGTACTAAAACATCACAACTTTTAGTAGAGGTAGAGGAAGTCCCTTTTTCTTTATAAACTAATGAAGCGATTCACATCCCCATCAACATTTCCATTCATAGTTCTCTAAATTCTCAGTAACAGCAGCACATTTTGTGAAAAGTCATATCCTGCAGAAGCTTATGGCGTGTTCGTTTTCAGGGTATCGGTTTGTGAGCATGTTAATAACGTGAAACTCTATCACGGCTCATTATTATTTCTATATTTTAGCAGGATTTTTGTTCTCTGAATTGATAAAGAGAAAACAGATCAATATCAGTGAAGATATATAGGAATACATATTGTACACGACAGACATGGAACAATGCCGATGTACGATAAAAGAACTGTTGGCGTATTTTAAAAGGATTCGTAATGGGGGAAAAGCGCTGCTAACATGCCAAAATATTGACAGAAAAATACCTACTTTTGAGATTTTTGACGTTTTATTTTAATTTCTTGGTACCTTTAACAAACTAACACATACTATTGCACTTTTTCTATCATGGATTTAACAGACTCTTAATCCTATCATCGATGGCATTTTGAAATTAAACCCCCAACAAGATGTCAAGTTCTTTTGTCATGTTGCGGTCCGCTCTGTATCAATTTCAGCTTTGCTTGAAGCCTGTTCATCAGCACCCAACGTAATATCTAGCCACGATTGACCCAAGGTCTTGTCAAATTGACAGTTTTATATCAATTTCCAGCAACGTTGATGTGATTTTCCATTGGAATATAATAAGCCGAAGTGTTATAACGCAACTGGTCTGGGAAACTAAGCAATTATAAGATTTCTTTATCAAGGGAAACGGCGTCAATATTATGGAAAGTGAGAGGGAAATCAATTCAATGGTATCATTTTACACACGGATAAGTACCATTATAGATAACAGATTTGTTCATTTTTCATTAAATCATTAACGGAAATTGAAAATATTTATCTGATTAAACTCTATACGATAACATTAATAAACCTATTTGCAGGCTCCATATGTAAAGCGTTTTATCTACATCTATTTTCAAAATGAAAATTACAATATATATCCAATATATTCGAGTGTATCATTTAGAGTGAACAAATTTGCTTACTGTGGCAAAATTATCTCCCACTTATGATACTAAATACAAGGACAAGGGGAATAGATATAAAATCAGAGAATGTCGTGTTTCATTCTTGCGCATTCTTTGCAATTATAAAAGGTAAATATACATGATGAGTGAAAACCTTTCCGGAAGTTATTTTCATTTTTGGTCAAAATGGCAAAATCAAAGAATATAAGAGTACATTGTATGTTTGAAAGGAGACACAATGTACTGCAGGCGGTACATACACTGATCACTAGAATAACATCCAATTTTGAATAAACATTTGTAAGGTACAATGGTTAGCAAATACATTCTGATTTACAATTATTTATCCTATGATATATTTTGATTTTGATATGCCATTTTACAGCAGGAGTCCTACAGAGGAAAATGAACAGCACCTGTATTGAATCAATACATTAAACACTCATTTACCAAACTTGGTTCTACTTGTAGCACAATAATGATATATATCTGATGGTATAACACGTCACGATCCAAACATGCCATAATCAAAACATATACTAAAACTGTTGTTAACGTTGGAGATACTTGATCAATTGTAGCTGTTGATGACTCATTGAGGCGCCTCCATGAAAGCTGGGTCCTCGTCCCGAGGCTGGGTACTGTGGCCCTCCGTGCGTGTATTATTACTTCGGGGTGTGATTGTCGCGCACTGGGTGACAACGTAGCAGAAGGCTTTCACAGTAGCTTCAATTTAAGCCAACATGTTTGCCGTGGGTTGTGTTTCGTATTCCTAGGGGAAGAAGATACTGGTGGTTGAGCAGGGGTTTGAATCACTGACAAACTCTGGATAGGAGGGAGACATGATCCGACATTCTGCAACATACTACTTTGGCTTCGGACTCTGGGTCCCTGCAGCTAGGGCGTAAGAATTGTACCTGCTGCCCCCATTGCAAGATCATAAGAGGCGACTAAATTTGGGATCTTATATTTTCTCTTCTTTCTAAACAACTTTTTTCTTCCTTATGTCTCCCTTGACAATGCCTCACTTTTTGCCTTTAGTTGAGCGTTCGCCCCTTTGAGGAAGGTTTTTGGTTCTGTTCCCTGGCCGAAACAAACCAGAGTCTGTAAAAATGGTAGCTTCTACTCCTACTTAACGCTCAGCCATTTTGGAGTGAGATGACTGGTTCGCCCGTTGTCAGTATAATTTGACCGGGTTGGGTGTCCTGCTGGATGTCTCCGGCAGTATGTTTCAGTGAGGTAGCACTATAAGGTCGGCATCAGTTCCACGCTATCACAATGAGACAAACACGAACATATCGCAGCCTCACAAAACACACACGCATACACTACAAGCATGCATCCTGCACACAGGGGAGGCCGTCATTAAATGACAATAGCTGTTGATAGAACGTTAAACAATACTTAACCAAACCAAACCTCTGGGTAGACGAGAGGTGATATGGGCCCCCTATCACCAATCGGCTGGTCACGCCGAGCCCTTTGTAAACATACTTCCAAGAGGGCGATTGATTAGAGTCAATTGCGAGAGTATACTCTTACAAGTAGTATGTATACTCTTACGAGTATATTGTTCTTTGTATCTCTGACACTTTGGCGATGGACATCCGCGTCATATCAGTGTCCCCTTGTTGGGCTCCGTGACGGTTGGGGGCACAGGTGGCGAAACAAACAAAAACACGCATGGGTAAGTACAAAAATAACGAAAAAGACGGAAAAACCCAAAATCGCAACGATGACTTAAGCTCAAATACAACACAAAACACGCATTTCCCACAGTTCCTTGTGTTGTACTCCACACAGAGTGCCTTAACAACATTCTCGTTGTCGCCTCGGCTGTTAAGGAATGACATCAAGGGAATTGCGTGAGATGTGAAATCCATTAAAGCTTTGGGATCGGGCGATATCGTTTATCGTCAACAACAGTTGAGGAACTACTCGGAACAACCAATTTAGCCGGCATCGGTGTAAGTGTGAAACCATACTCATCACTTAGTTGCAGCAAGGAGGTAACCAGGTGCCCAGGCTTGCGCAAATACACCGATGACGACATTCTAGCATATTTCCAGGAGGAGAGCGTCCTGGTCTCCGAGGTGAGGCGGATGTCGACCAGAAAAAACAACACCGTACGAACAAACACCTTCATTATCACATTTGCATCACCAACACTACCCCAAACACTTACAATATGATACCAGACGTACAACGTTTCCGTCTACATCTAACATCCATTGCGATGCCGAAACTGTCAGAATTACGGTTATCACAAAAAACGATGTAGACGGCACCCTCTTACGCACAAGTGACACGAGGCAAAGTGCCGGTTGACAATGTCACGGTCAAAGATTTGTCAGTTCAGGCTTCTTAAGACAGAACTGCTTTGGGCTCACAAGTTCCAGACCATGGCTGGCAAACAGACCTGCAAAATCATCGTAAGAGACCCATCACAGTTCAGACAAAACACAAACCCCTCCCAAAACAAACAGTCACTAAACAATCACCAACAACCTCAAACGACATCGTCGCCAAAACTAAAACAACCTAAAAATGCACCTCCCTTACCAAACAAAAACCCTAAACACTCGTCGTTACAACGATGTCGTTCGCTATCTGTTCCTCTCATGAGGTCAGAAAATACATCGCCAACAGAAAAACTACCACAGAAAAGATATCCAGAAAGCCGGCCGGGCCCGATCTAAATGTCACCTATGGCAAAGGATCGGATGCCCCGACCAACAGATTCAATGTTCTGCTTGATCTTGATAAGTTGCAGACGAATGCTTCAACGCTTCACTCTTCAACTCCATACAGATCAAGCAAACATACATATATAACACAATCATACAGAAGAATTTCAACATTTATCTAAAGAACTAAACCCAGCAATATTCTGCTTACAAGAAATAATGCCCAAGACTCACTTCTCAGTCTAATGTAATATCCCAACGGGTAGCGGCAGGGCATCGGATGGTGCGGCTGTGGCTATCAATAAAAACATTCCTCATAGACATATCAAGTTAAACACATCTTTACAAGCTGTTGCAGTTTGCGCAACTTTACACAGACAAATAACTGTCTGTTATATCTATCTTCCTCCTAGTGTTGGCTTTAACTGTGACCAACTTAATAACATCGTGTCCCAACTCACCTTTCGTAATACTGGGTGATGTTAATGGCCAAAATAGCTGTGGGGCTCCCCAAACACAGACGAAAGAGGAAGACGCATTGAAGAGTTCATAAATAAAAAAAAAACTTTGTTTGTTAATTAATAACGTCCCTACATACACCCACCCACTTATCCTTGTGCCACCCTTCAATTCTACTTGATTATGACTGGAAGGTCAACGATTATCTACGTGGAAGTGATCAATTTTACATCTTTCTCGAAAACTTAGGGTCCCCTATTAAGGAACCTCTACTTCGATGGAATATACACAAGGCAAATTGGGTGCAATTCCAGCCATGTGCACCGAGGAGATTACTGAGGAACAGTTCATGAACATTGACGACCCAATTGATACCTTTAATGAAACACTAACTTCTATTGTCCAAAAAACAATTCCAAAATCCGCTCCAAAACCTACGAGGTTCCTTTTATCAGAAGAATCTTTTAAAACGCGCATCAATCGGGCAGCTGCTTTAAGACGCTACTTAAATTGCCCGACCCCTTCAAACTACTGTGCTTTTAACATTTG